CTAATACTGTTCTGTTATTTCCATAAATAGATATTGCATACTTTTTAGGGCAAAACAACGATGTTTATTTTGAAATATTGGAAAGAATAATTCATTATACCTTGATGCCAAATCAGAAACGCAATGGCAGAGCAATGCATATTCTGATGGTTACATTTGTCCAGGTTTCACATTTACGGCCTAGACACAAAAACGTTTTGCAATAAACTTTGCATAAAATGAAATGAAACAAGTTTCAATTAAACATATCTCCATATCACTTTGCTTTACACTCACCAAACAAGCGTTGTGAATTGCAAAAACGTGATCCATTCGAAGCAGATCCGAAGCCTGTTCTTCCATAATTCCTATAGGGGTACAAGCGCCCCTGAAGAATCCCGCGTTGACACTAGCGCCAGATTCCCCTCTATGTATTATTGTATGAAACTATATGGTGAGAACCCAGCGTTAAAAGAACGTTTTTTGTCTGTTACACCGAGCAGTCAATGGCACGGTTCACTGCACGTCGCGTTTCAGGGGCGAAGCTCCTTAAAGGGGTACTGACACAAAAAAATTTGGCCTCGCGTTTTTCTGCTGCAATGCGTTGCTGTAGGGCTGTTAGTCTTGACACGACCCAGTGTTTGCTGCAGCACGCAAAAGATAAATAATTACAGACCCCTCATTATCGACCAGTTTGAGTTTCGGTTTCAGAAAATTGCAAAAACTAGGTGAACTGTCACCACCTAGCGTGGGCAACTCTTGACCACGTCAGCATAAGGAACGGCGACGCACTTCCGCACGATCCGCAACTAGAATTACTTTCGAATAGTAAACGATACTGGAATGTCGCCAAACACTAAACTTTCTAAGCGTGCGCCACCAAGAAATATATACTTCGGGAACTAACTCGGCAAAAGAAAAATGGCGACTATGGCGTCATCATAATTTGTTTTATTGACCGCAGCATGGTGACGTGAGGGAAGTTGGGGGTCCCCTCGGGGTCACCTCCGAGGGTGTCTATAGCGCTATGGAGTCGGTCGCTCACGCAAACTTCAAAATTAATTTAAAATACCTTTCAATTGCTATATTCGCTGTTGATATCTTGCAGATGGTATGCGAATGTTCACGAGAATTGGCCCCACAGGATTTCTCGGCCCCGAAATTTTGTGTCAGTACCCCTTTAAGCCGTAAGTCGTGCTTTCGCGATGTATATAGTAATCGTCGTCGTAGTAGGTAGCCACCTCTATGGCCGGACTAGGCACGCACGCACTCTGTTGAATTTAGGAGAAAACCCGCGCAAGGTAATCATAAATAAGAAGATTGTTGTTTCTGGTGAAATAACCTACAGAGGTGAGTATCGTTAATTTATACTCTAATAAAGTTTTCCTTCAACTTCATGCCTACTAAAACAAAAAATAGTAAAAGAAGGACCGTGCTTTGAGGACTATTTGACCAGAAAACGGCCAAGTTGAGCTCGCTGGGTGTAAGCTGTAAACACAAGGGCTGGGCCCTTAGAGTAATATCACTGTTTTAAGGTTGACAAATGAAAAGTTGCCTAGACAAACGAGGGGGGGGGACCATGGCTTCCCTATTTTCAGTCATGCGTCGGGATAGATTAGACGCCAGCATGTCTATTGAAAATCCTGTTTGATCACAACAAGAATGGGCAATATCTGTTGAATTCACGGAACAACGCTTCTATTACATTTTCTCGGAAATGGCTGGTGTCCAAGGGTGATGCGCAGTGCGGCGTGAACCGCATTTGCGCAAATATGATCATGAGAAAATAAACGTTTATTTCTACAGCGAAGCTGCATGTGGCTGGGTTCAGTGTCAACAAAAAGTTGAGGGCAACATAATGAGACGAGAAGCACAACTGCTAGCAGGCCTGGTAAAAACATGTGCGGTAAATACCGGTTAAGACCACGCTCGAAGCGTCAAGAGCAATAGGCAAGATTGGCAAGACACTGCATTTCGCCTGAAGGAGAATTCGTGAAAAAAAAAAGAAAGTGCATTGCTGCTGAAATGCCTAACACTTTAAAGGTGCGTACGATAAAGTCAGAATGGACATTCTTAGGACTCATTTAAAATTTAGTTCCTAGCTGTGGTCAGCTATGGATTGAAATTTTGTGCCACCCCTGTGCCATATGCTAAGCAGCGTCGCTGGTCATGATTTTCACAGGGTGGAACAGCTCGCACATTTTTTTAACAGCAAACCTGTTCTTGGTCGAGTGCAAGGAGGGTTAAGAAAATTGACGGCAAATCCACGAGGTGAATGACGATGAGATTGGGCGAAGCTCCTGGAAGCAATACCATGAAATTTTCGTCTGTTTTCGCCTGGCGATATGCGCGCTTCCTCGCCGCTTTCTATTGACGAACGTTTTCAAGATCTGCTTCGGGACGTTGTCGTGCTGCCTCGGCCTCTCGTTCCCGTACGAAAGTACCTTGCTGACGCTGACGTGCCGCTGCAGCATCTTGTTCACGTACGGCGGAATCTTGCCGACGCTGCCTTGCTGATGCGGCTTCTTGTTGCCGTACAGCAGAATCTTGGCGGCGACGTCGCACAGCTTCCCGGCGCGCTTCTGCCTCGCGTGCTCTCACTTCAGGGTCCTGTCTGAGAGCCCACGCCGCCACTGCCCGGCGCGCCCACCTTTCGGCATCCTTATCCATACGAGCACACACCGACGGCAACGAGCATCGACACTTACAAACCTGTATCGATATGGTTTTGATTATAAAACCGTTGCTTTAGAAAACACCTGGCGTCTTTCGTTAAGCAGCTGGCGTCTTCTTTTTAGTTTCGCTTAAGAAACATCTGGCGTCTTTTCGTTGTCCTTTTAGAAAACATCTGACATCTTCCGTTGGTTTACTTCATCAATCAACGGCGTTTCGAAGAAAAAATTTTTATTGTTTAATCACGCACAGGAGAAATCTCACCAGGCACTACATTGTAGGTAAACAATGGCTGCTACTGGAAATGAGAGACAGCAGAAGTCAGCTTTTAACACTTCTACTTCTACTATCGTTTCATACTAGAACATGCCAATGGCTGCTAATGGGAAATGAGAGACGGAAGAATTCGGCTTTTAGTTAACGCGCACGCTGCGATTTTTTTTATTGTTCAACAACGCACAGAAGAAATCTCCCTCCGGCACCACCTTGAAGGTCAAAATGTAAGACTGGTTACACACTAGTACTACTACTACGAGGCACGAATGGGTGTTGCTATAAGGAGCTTCGCCCCTAAAAAAACTTAATCCTCTTTCGTCGAGTGTTTCATGTGACACAGGTGTGTGTTACATACATTGAGTCAAACCAAATACTCAGAACTGCTCCATTAAATATGAAGGCAGCAGTGAGCTTAACTAACGGGTATCTGCCACAGAAATCTGTGTGGCCTGTCCGAAAGCTGTCATTATCATAGATGCACATGTGCTACGAAAATCATGCGCGAGTCTTCGTCACCTCCACTGAAAAGGAACAACTCAGCCCAACAAATGGCGTGTGCGTTACCACAGTCACACCCCTATCGCGTGATACTTCGTGGTTATGATAAGTGGTGGTTATACTACCACCTCAAAGCTTAACAAAGGATCTTCAATTAGGAGCTAGGCAAGACGCATCTGAAAGGCTCACAAGATATATGAATGCGATAGCCTGTTGAAGAAAAGGATGCCAGCTTCGCTGTGTCATCAATGTCCGCGATGCGGCGCTGGTTTAACACTTTTCAAAAGGCTTGGTATATACGCATAAATAGTGCTCCTATCTACGCTGCTTTGAAGTGCATACAGAAGCATTCGCCCCGTACTTGAGGTCACGTGATTGGTAGAAATGACACGATGATAAATCCCTCTCTTCAGCGTTTGTCATTACACACTTTGCAGTACAGAAGACATCTAAATTATGTCGAGTGACGTCTTCTGGTGCTGCGGTACTGTTTGTGATTCTATCTGCGTTACTCTTTATAACATCAGTAAACGTGGCGCGAAAATCAGTCATGTTTATCGATTCACAGTCCGCTGCAGCGTCGCTGCAAAGTGATGTAAAAACTTCTTTACACTTTTATATGAGACCCTATAATAACAGTCAAAAGTAACAACAATGAACCACGTGATCGATTTCAATAAATATAAAGCCACTGCAGTATTCCAGGACACACTGCAGCCGACACCACATCACATAGGGCCCACAATAACGACGAAACAATTGCCCTCAAAATTTCACACATTGAAATCCATCTACTCCTGAGACAGATAGCCTGTAGCGTCATCAAAGACAACAGGTTCAGTAAAAAGTCGGAAAGTACGGACTCATATCTTATTGACCATTGCTTAAAGCTTAGGATTCTATCAGAGCTGCGGTAAATTGGAAAATTTGAGATGTTAGTTGACTGCTTACGGCTTGGTACAGCGTTTACACCACACTTCCTACACAGAATACAGCGTGCGTCTAGTACAAACTGTTCCTGCCACCACCTTGACGAAGGTGTACATCACCTGCTTCTGGAGTGCCCGAAATATGGGACAAAAAAAATGTATTACGAGCAAGTTTGCAACCTTTATATAGGGGGTCCTTCAGAGTGAAAAAAATACTAGGCCCATGGTCAACTGCAGGTCTTCAGAAATAAGCAGCTGTCGCCTTCAAGAAGTTTCTTGAAGATTGAAATATTTTATAGCAACATTCATCTACTGTATGGAATGCCGCCTTTTCCTTCATACCATAGAAAATGTGTAATATTGAGATAGTATGTCTGATTTGTGTAATCATTTGTCTATGTGCGAATTTACCTTGTCTGTGTGGAACTTTGTACATATGAACCTATTAGACGTATCTGAACTGTCATGTGATGTTTCACTGTCCTGTATTTTCACATAGTTTTACTGTCTTGCATTTATGCCCTTATTGTTTTTTCTTACGACATATTTTGTCTGCTAAGTGAGAAGCAGTAGCCGGTGCTACCGTTATGGCACCAACGGTCTTCTATTTGATCATTTCAATAATGAAAAAAAAAAGTTACGTACCTGCAGAAATCTTCCTGGTCAGCGTCCGTTTCCGGTACCTTGTTTCCCGTGGCGAACAAAAACAGGCCAGCGGCGCAGTTGTCCAAAGAACGGATGTAGCACTTGTCACACGAGGGGGGTAATGCCGTGCACTTGGCGACGAGCGCTGCATACGCCCAATCAAAGAACGAAAGTAGCAAAAAATTAATGCAACAAGCTGAGCTATAGTTGCTAATGTATTGTAAAATAGCGCGTAAAAAAACATCTATACGGAACAAGCGCCCGACGTGTTGTCTCTTGGTGTGTTCACATGTTTTTTTTTTTCGCGCTCTTTTACATTGTAAAGGAAAGTTATGTAAGCCCTGCACTAATGGTGCCAAGTCTTGTGGAAGTGTGGAGGTGGGCAGCCTTCTTTTTTTTTCAATTTGGTTTGCTCTTTCTTTCTTTTTCTCTTCTCCAGCTTTCTGTCTTTAGTTCACTATTTCTTTCTATTCACTCTTACTTTAATGCCTATTCTTTTCTCTTTATTTCTCTCCTTTTTTATTTCTCGCTTGACTAGTTTTTTTTGCCATTTTTATATGAACTTCTGCCTGCTTTACGCCAAGTGGCGACAGTGCATTACAGTCTGGGCCCACAAAGTGCTTCCTATTTAGCAAGAGAGCATGCAAGGAGACCAACTATATAGGTGTCCCGCGGCTCGCCCGAACTGAGGTTTATGCAATGGTATGACCCACTGAATAGTGTCGTCTTCTCGCGGAGACATTTGTGTAGCACTACTTCTTTAATATACGTCTTCGATTGTGACGTGCTAATTTGCCTTATATATCACAGGTTTAAGTTTTCATTTAATTTACTGTTTTTTTACAAGAAAGTTTCTGTGATATCTTAAATGATGGCGACATATTTTTTCTTGATATACAAACAACAACCAAGCGCAGGGTGCTACGAAAATTTAGTGGGATTGTCGTCGAACGACGGGATTGTTGTCGTCGAGCCCCCCAACCAGAACCTTGGCTCTATCAATATTTTTTTATTTAAGAACTCATCTTCCAAACCGCTTCGAGTGGGTCATTTTATGGTACTTGTTAATGCGAACTTGCACGCATACGTATATTTTGCATGCCTTCTATCCTATAGGCAAGGAGTAGGTAGGCACTGCAGGTCATCTCAACGAGGAGAGGCAGAGCACGCCGACTAAGGAATACAATACCGTTCAAACAAACACAGCAAGAAATGCCATGGGACATTTACAAACAACTTAAAGCAAAAGTCGGTACGCGCAGCCAGATAGTTCGCATAACATATGCATTGGTACGTCACAGCGTACGGAATTTTTCAAAACAAAAATGTACCATCAAAAATCATCTACGATAGGAAAAGGTGGGAAAATATGAGGAAAAAAATGGCAGGGAGGTTAACCAGTCTATAGGTAGCCGGTTTGCTACCCTGCGCATGGGAGGGGATGGGGAGAAGAAAAAATAGAGAGGAGAGAGAGAAGAGAAATAGACACAGCACATTAAGCAGCACACGCGCGCACACTCAGTCATAGTCCAGTCTTGTCTTTCACGGTGTGTGACATTGCTGTGCTGTTACAGCCGCTTGTTCAAGCCCATGTTGCGTAGGAATTTCAACAGTGCTTTGTTGTCGGTGCACGCAAGAACGGACGCCAGTGACTGTTTCTGGATTTCATAAAATGGACAGATGCACATGATGTGGTGTAGCGTCTGTCCCTAGCAAGTGGATAGTCACCAGCAATTGCAATTGTTGCCTTGTTGACGTACAACTGGGCAGATTAAGGCACACTCTCAGTGCTTGGGCTTGAACTGCCTGTAGAACACGAACATTGGTCTTGCAGGTATTGCTTAGCACGGGCAAGCTATATCTCAGGAAACCGAGAAACAGGGCTCGGTGAAGTTCCATAATTGCGCCTACTGACATCCCCCACGTCTTTCCTGCCGGGAACTTGAACAATCAGGAAATAGTGGTCAGGCGCTTCTTCATAAAGGCCACATGCGGACTCCAACAGAGGTCCCTATCACTAATGATGCCTAGAAACTGGTGGCTTTTGGCGTAAGAAATTGGTCGCCCACTGATTGAGATGACGTAAGTGGTCCTTTCTATGCGAGTGAAGGCCTCCAGCATGCTTTTTTCTGGTGATATACGATAGGGATGTGCATTATACATTGCTAGTTTTTTAAAGTAGCACAATTTACGCTGAGGGTAACATTTGAGCAACGCTGATTGTTTTTCAAGTGATTCTGAGGTGTTTTCTTGACAATGCGGAAATAGCCAAGAATCGGCAGATAGGTAAATTGCACCGTGGACTTCCCTGTGCCCTGCTACCCTGCCCTTCCCCAGTACAAGGTAGCAAACTGGAACTTATTTTCTTATTAACCTTCCAGCCTTCCTCTCTGCCTCTCTCTCTCTCTCTCTGTATCCATTGAGTAAAGCATCTTAAATCTGCAAATATTTCATTTAGGTTTCAAGGAACGCAAACAACAAGGACAATGAACGCAATAGTATGGGGATTATTTTTCTCGGAGAGCTCCAACTTCACCAGCAATATTGTATTGAGCGCACTGCAGCTTCAGCATCATCTAGTGAAATGTTTTTAAACGGTATCGAACAAAACATGTATAATATAATGTAGTGACAACAAAGAAAACAGAAGCTGCTGAAGACCCTTTCTCTAATAATTTTTTTGAGATTTATTGTCCTAAACCAAGATATTGTTATGAAAGTTGCCGCAACGGAGGGATTTCGTATTTCCGACCACCTGGGTTCTTCCAGTAGGCACCTAAATCTGAAAAAAAGGGCCCCAAACATCTTCGCTTCCGCTGAAAGGTCTTGTTTTTTTTTCAATTTTTTTAAAGAAGATTTGATTTGACACAATGCAATTAACTAAGTGTAATATACAAACTTACACAAAAACTTATTTTCGTAATCAGGCGTCCGGAATAATAGTGCGATTCATACCGATATTCTGGTGGCTACAGCTTTGTATTAAAAAAAAGTGTGTTCCACGCTCACCATCTTAGCTGCCAGTGGCGCTGACTAACGCTCCCTCACATATATGCACATCATTAATTGATGAAGTCTACAGGAGGACGACCACTTCTGTAGATGTAGATGCAGCGCCTCATTCGGAAGTTGCAGCTTTGGTCAATTACGGCTGTGAGTTGTAATTGTCAAAAACTTTAATCTCTGTACCTTCATATGAGTTCTTTTAAAGTGCCTCATTCGAAGGTTGCAAGTTTGGTATATGACGGCCTACAAGTTGTGCTTTCAAAATTTTATTTTATTCGCCTTCATATGAGACCTTGTAAAGTAAAGGAGTATTTTCAATGCATTTATACGGTCTCATATGTAAATGAATAAACTAAAGTTTTTTTTATTTTTTTTAAACACAAGCAATAGCCGCCATGCGCCAAACTTGCAGTTTCCGAATGAGGCGCTGCATCTACTGAGCTACAGAGGTAGTCGTCCTCCCGTAGACTTCATCGAGAATATATGGGGCATATAAGTCTGGGAGTGTTAGTCAGCGCCTCTAATAGCTAGGAAGGCGAGCGTGGAACATAGTTTATTTTTATATAAGAGTGGGACACCAAAACGTTGTTGTGAATTGCGCTATTATTCCTGACGCATTATTACGGAAATTGGTTTTTGTGTAAGTTTATAGGTTACATCTCGTTAATTTCATTATGTGCCACAAAATCAGTGATAAAAGGTAGACTATATACCTGCGAAAATATTATCAGCTACTTACACTAATGAAACTCAACCACCTTTAGTTACGCTGTCGGTCAAGGAAAATTCGATAGCATTCTGTGTGGTCTATAAAAACCGTTCTTGGCACCACCATTCGGAAACAAGCAACGATGGAGATGTAGTTTCAAGAAATACGATAAAGCTCTGAATTTCCCTAGCAGACCAGTACTAACTAAAGATTTCTCGTGTCATGTGAGGTCACTCTAGTATTCTGTTATATTAAAGCTTTCGTATTAGACTGACGCTGTTTATGCAAAACGCACAGAGTAAATGGCACTAGCGTGCCTTCTAACAAGGCGCTTTGGGCCATCTTAGCGAGGTCTTGCTTGATTACACTCTATTCTGACTCCCATCATGGCAGGCATGTGATTCTTTTTTTTTTTGTCGCAATGCGGTTCCTGCTAAAAAACTCTCGAACTGTTTTCCAAGCACAACTTCACTGTCTCCACGTCTCCGCTGTGGCACATTGGCTACAATGCTCGTTTGTTCGCTCAGAGGGTGCGTGTTTTATACCGGCCATGTAGGCAGCATTTTCAAGAGAATATTTAGAGACACTTAAAAGAAGGATGCTTACCAATGAGTAGCAAGCTGCGGATCATAGCTCGACGCTCGGCCATTTTCGGTTCCCACGAGAACGGCAAATGTGATTCTTCGACACGAATTCTTCTCTGAACGGTGAACTGGCGTCGACGTATCGTCAGGATCGACTACAGGTGCGTTTATATATATGGTCACCAAAGGCGGACCAATAAAAAGCCAGCCAAGAGAGTCGGTAACGTGGAAGCTCTCACTTTTCCAATGGACGTGTAATGAGCTTCGCCTTACGCCGCTCAGTGCGATTCACGGAAAGGCAGATATTATTTCATTTTTATTTATTTCCTGTACCTCAGTTTCGCTTTCTATTTCACGCGGGCGCGCTTTCAACGGTGTAGCACGGGACGTGCTCGCTTGCTGAAAGTGAAAAGCACACGCAGCCTTTGTCCTCCTGTTCGTGCAACTTCTGTCATCTCGACTCAAGTTTCGTAGAATGGCATCGCTGCGCTGTTTCCAAGAGGAGCTCAAAACGGTATCGCATCTAGAGCCTGCAGAATACAAAATAGAACAAAAAAGCAATACATATGGCGACGGCGAAAAACGCTGCTTTCAACGTTTGTATTCTGGAAAAATAGTTAACCATGCCAAGCTGGCTAGGCTGTGAGGAAATCTCACTTACATGAAGCGCGAGCGAACTAATCCCGAGGCTGCGCTGGGTACAGTTGTTGAGACCAAGTGATTGTTGAGATCAAGTCGTTGAGAACAAGCAGTCGTTGAGACCAAGTGACAGCCTTCAAGTGCTTCGGCAAAACTATCGCTTCCGACGTCGTTTTCAACAGCCGTGAGATTGTGTAAACAAAACAGTGGCCGAATGAAAATATTGCTGTTTGTTTTCTTGTTTCCGAAACGAAGGCAGGAGATCGCAATAGAATGGGAGTATTATAACGCTGTGATCACTAGAGCTCTCACCTCATCACAACGAGAACAAAGAGTAGAGGCAACAATAAGAGCCACACATTTAAAAAATATATTAATTCAAGTGGCTCCACAAGTGCGATTAAAAACACTGCGAAAAAATTGTTGTTGAAGAGCAAGAATGGTTCCGCGAACGAGGGTATTAGTGGCGAACATTGCAGGAACACACGCAACGATTGCGAATTGTACCTTCTCGTGTACTAAAATATTTTCAAAAATGATTCTTAAAGGGAATATTATTTGCTCACATTGCTTTGTAACATAAAAAAATAACTTCTTGATTGATATGTAGGGTTTAACGTCCGAAAACCACCATACAATTATGAGAGGCGCTGTAGTGGAGGGCTCCGGAAATTCTGACCACCTTGGGTTTCTTAACGTGCACCTAAATCTGAGCACACGGGCCTACAACATTTCCGCTTCCATCGGATGTGCAGCCGAGGCAGCCGGGATTCGATCCCGCGACCTGCGGGTCAGCAGCCGAGTATCTGACTGATATGTAGGGTTTAACGTCCCAGAACCACCATATGATTATGAGAGACGCCGTTGTGGAGGGCTCCGGAAATTTCGACCACCTGGGGTTCTTTAACGTGCACCCAAATCTGAGCACGCGGGCCTACAACATGCCCCGCCGCGGTGGTCTAGTGGCTAAGGTACTCGGCTGCTGATCCGCAGGTCGCGGGTTCAAATCCCGGCTGTGGCGGCTGCATTTCCGATGGAGGCGGAAATGTTGTAGGCCCGTGTGCTCAGATTTGGGTGCACGTTAAAGAACCCCAGGTGGTCAAAATTTCCGGAGCCCTCCACTACGGCGTCTCTCATAATCATATGGTGGTTTTGGGACGTTAAACCCCACAAATCTTTTCTAATCGGGCCTACAACATTCCCGCCTCCATCGGAAATGCAGCCGCCACAGCCGGGATTTGATCCGGCGACCTGCGGGTCAGCAGCCGAGTACCTTAGCCACTAGACCACCGTGGCGGGGCTGCAGCTGAGTATCTTAGGCGCTAGACCACCGCGGCGGGGCAAAGAAAAAAAGTTTAACTTGTAAAGTTGAAGTATAATTAGGCCTAGCAAATCGCGTGTTGCGCGAGGTGCTCAGAGCCGTTCACTCTTATCGGCACACCAGCCGCCAAAGTTGATATCTGCTGTTCACCCTTGGATCAAGTGTGAACCATACACTGGCTGACGAGGGCGCAAATTTAAATTGACGATGAGCAGTTCTGTAACCGCTGTGAAACCTGCTCAAGGAATCATGTTTGAAAACGTCGATGCAGGCCGCACAAAGATTACATTGCTAGTTTGTCTTTGTGCCTAATAGTGTCACTATTACACGAGTGCTTTCGGAGCAGTTGCTTGTAAAAATAATTTCCAGACATTCTTGGTGAGCCCCCATCATGAGCGAAAAAAAAAAGGGTATAGATGCATGTTTTTTCAAAGTATATTTCGTAACATCACTCGTACTAACCGGTACCTTTTCTTGCCCAATCTTGCTTACGTCTCACCCCGTCCTGATTATGCCTACAAGATCAAGAAGATGAGATGTAGAACGAACACCTTCAGCATGGGTTTTTTTTTTCTTTCAGAACAATTCGTGAGTGGGACAAATTGCCTAGCAACATTATCTCTGTTGCCTTGTCACGGTGGTCTAGTGGCTAAGGCACTCGGCTGCTGACCTGCAGGTGGCAGGATTGAATCCCAGCTTTGGAGGCTGCATTTCCGATGGAGGCGGAAATGTTGTAGGCCCGTGTGCTCAGGTTTGGGTGCACGTTAAAGAACCCCAGGTGGTCGAAATTCCCGGAGCCCTACACTTCGGCGTCTCTCTTATCCATATGGGGGTTTCGAGACGTTAAATCCCACAACTCAATCAATAAACATTGTCTCTGTTATCTCCCCTGAAGTGTCTGCTTCACCTTTGCAGAACTTGCATTGTGAATAGTCCTCGTGATTTTCTATGCGATGTTTGCTCGTGAGCTTTAGCGCTCAATATGTTGTGCTGTTTCGCGTTTTCTTTGTGCATTTGGCTACTTACTGCTGTACAGTATTTGAACTACTTGCTTTTGATTGGACTTGTGAGTGTTGTACCCCCCTCCCCTTTTCCATGCAATGCCAAAAAGCGCTCTGGGCATTGTAATAAAAACTTGCAAAGCAGAATTATTGGCAGGCTTTATCACGGATGCCGCTTCTGACCAATGAAACCCGAATGTTTGTTTGTAGCCGAAAAAAAAGTTGAAATTCAAAGGGGGCTCATTTTATTTGTTAGACATGATAAAAATGATAACTAACAGACAATGATTCCAAGAAAAGTATAGATCTTAATAGTAGTAATTGTAATATAAACATGACAATTACTGCTTATAGCATCCCCTATACTTTCCCTAGCATCATTGTCTGTTAGTTGTCATTTCTCGCAGGAACTAATTTTCATAACTCCTCCATATTTTGCCGATTATTTTTACCCCATACATTCCTACATTTGGACCACTTTTCTGAAGACATCGCAACTACTAACAATCAACAAATTTGTAATCAGATTAACATTGTGTTATTGAAGCTTGCACGTTATGTTACAATTGCTTATCACTTACATTTTGATCATACTTGTACTTACGAAATAAAAAGTCATAATGTTGGAAATAAGGAAACGTTCCCGTTGTTGTTTCATTGTTGCAATCGCTACCTTTACGGACGCCCAACGACAACCACTATTGCGCGTTAGTAAAAAAAGCACATAATGGTTGAGAAGGTCTCATATTCACGCGATTTTCGCTGCTGACAGCTGAGACTCATCAACGTATTTTCAGTGTGACAGAATCGTCGCAAGTTTTAAGGGTAAAAAACTATCTCTCGCAGACTTGTTGGCACACGCATTCTACGCATGTGTCATACATGCAGTATTTTCTAAAAGAATGGAACAACACTGATAAACCTCTCACCCATTTCTTGCGCGTGCTGTGTCCAAGAACGTGGGTTTTTCCTGGTGCGTTTTCGGCTTTTTCGTCAGCCTCAGAAACGATCATCCTGAAGCCGAGCCTCAGGCCTTACAAATGGCGTACGAGGGGCGTAAACACGTAGCTTTCATATGGCTGGCAGTGGCCAAAGTCTAGCCGTGCAGTTGAGAGCACGTGTTGTACTTGCAAAACATATAATACCTTGCCTGGGAGACTTAGTTTCAAGGAACCCGTACGCGTTCCTAAACAGAGAGTCACTATGATGGCGCTTACCTGGTTGATGGACACCTTCTCTACAGCTACGTAGAGCTTGGCACGCTTTTGATTCCAGCGTTTGAAAGGCGTGTTTCTGCGTTAGTCTAAGGTCACAGGCAGCATGCCATCTTCACACGTCCAAAGAGTGGGGTTACTTTAAACTTCCCCAATAGTTTCAACATTCTGACCAAAACTATATACGATTAAACTATGGGTAACAATTTGTGGGAGCGCGTGAACGAATGACATTTGGCTCACTGGTGGTGTAGTTGCTCTCATCTAGTTTGACCTTTGTTATATCTATGTCTACAGTGGTCTTCATCAGGGTTGCCATTAGTGGCCACCCTTGAACAAATTGGATTTTTTAAGACTTCGTCTGGCGGAAAATAAATTAGAAAACAAATACCGCAGGCCTCAATTGGCTGCTCTTTCTTCAGTGCCCTTTGCAGAACATCTCAGTAAAACACTGTGCTCTAGCAGCCAATAAAAACACGGTGGCGCTGGAAACTTATTTTGCAAAGTGACCGTATACAGGCACCACGAATGGCAAGGAACAGCGTTAGCCTGTGTAACATAACGGGGCATAAATTTGCAATCCCAAGCAGTCATCACACAATGCCAATAGCACAACCTGAGTGTGGCCTCCTACTTACTCAGAAGTGCGCAGACGTACTTCATTGTCATTGCCTACAAGTACCATCTAAAGTGGACATAATACTTTACAAACGTGTAGTGGGTACCTAGGGCATCTCCGGAAAGGCAAACAATGACGTATTTGTTGCTGTCCTACTTCACGAAAAATATTATTTACGGCTTCGAATTTGATGCCTTGAGGAAACCCAAAACTTCTGGCCTTGCCATAACACGAAGTTGCACTGAGATTTAGCATCAGGTGAAATCGTAAGCGTCGACGATTTTTTGGTAGATAAAACACACAGCATCGGAGCTTTTCTGTCTTCTCAGATCCA